CAACTCCGCCATCAAAAGAAGATCCAGTGATGAGTTGTGCGTTATCATTGGGATGGATAGGTATGAGGCGCTCTCTTCTGTAGTGTAAAAAGTTGGTCAGTGTTTGGTCGCCATCAGTGGATAGAGTGATCTCATTCATTTCGGTCCAAATCACAACTCCCACCAAAACCACAAATATATTCAATTGATTGTAAAGCTTTTAATGTAAAAGAAATTATGTTTAATATCTGCAAAAAATGACTGCTATATAAGAAAAACAAACTATATTTACAGCGTTAACTATATTTGCAATTCGTTTACTTCTGTCAAAAACGATTGTCTTATTCTTCTTGTTTTGTGTGAACTATAATTAAAATCAATAATTAGTTTATAAAATTAATTAATTGTTAATTAAAAGCTAGAGTACTGACCACATCGTAATCATTAACAATAACTAATTCAACAAAACGAGAGACACCGTTACTCTCGTACGGATCAGATACGGCTCTCTTTTGACGGATTCGGTTGGACATCAAATTAATGATCGAATCATTAGTGAAACCTTTGAGATAATGCGATAGAAATAATCAAAACTTATATTTTAATTAAAAGATGTAAAAACTAATTAATACCGCATTTGAAGGATGAGAGGGAAGATCTGTCGCTGTCTCTAAATATAATCACCGATTGACTGTTCTCTTTAGGATGNTGACTGTTCTCTTTAGGATGGATATGATATACATCGGTTCCATCGCTAAACACACCACTTATTATCTGATCACATGTGGAAACAGCAGCCCATGTATTGTTACTTTGGTTAACTAAATGTCCCGTAAAGTGACAGTTGTCTGAATTCTAGCAATTAATTAAAATATTAATATGTTTTCTTAATTATTTATAATTGATGTTCAATTACTGTTAACTGAGGCATTGATTTGATATAATTCCCATTTTGACGGTGTTTTTCAAAATAATCTTTTGCAATGAGTCCTAAATTGCTCCGTAATTGCAATTCAAATAATTTATCGAAAGCTTTTAATTCAATTTTCAATCCGTTTTCTAAATTTTTAATCTGAAAAAATAGTTTGGATTTTTTAAATTAAAAAAAAAACACTAAACCTTCCACCAAATACTTAATGCAATAATAATATCATACAATAATTGCCGGCACTGTAAAACTTTATCGAAAAATCTCAAATTTTATGTTATTTCTAAATATTAAATAATATTATAAATTTTTAAAATAAAATTTTATAAAATAAAATATTTTAAATATTGACATTTCTAAGAAAATTGGAAAATTCCTGAAATGATATTTGCAAAAATAAGAAATTTCTGTTAAAATTGATTTTTCATTGCATTTCATATTAAATAACATTAATGTTTTGGTATAATTCTCAAGAATTTTATAATGAATGGCATTGAATTGCTTTAGCTTTTTATATGACTGTATTTTAATTATTATTGCATAACATTTGTCATTATATGTTCAGAATTAAAGTAATCTTTATTTATAATGGAGTTTGTAATCAAATAATTAGCGTTACCTCTGATGGACTCG